TGATGGTAGTTTGAAGTCAGAAGTCAACTGCCGGTTAATAGACTTTTTTGCCGTATGAGAATACGTTGCCCAGGGTGCATCACGTGGAGGTAAGTCTATCGCATCATAGATTTCAGGTTGTTTAGTTCAGTATCTAGTCACGAATGACGCACAAAATCGATTAGATAAATTTCAAATGGGCAAGAAACCGTCTTTGAGCTAAAGAATTTTTAAAAAGGAAATAATTATATTTGTGTTTTCTTGATTAATGGAGGAAACTCCCATATTGCCCATTTGAGTTGGCTTATTTACGGTCTCACATGTTTGAGAAAAAAGAATTTAAACTACGAAAAGTCAGCTCTACAAGGTCAAATAAAATATATATATATATATATATATATATATATACAGTCAATGGCAAGCTTTATGATAGTTTACATTAGTTTACATTGGATGACTTCGAGCTTCAAATAGGGTAGGAACTTCAAAGTCACCAAACGTCGATGGGGGGGGGATAGAAGAGTGATTCATAGATGTAAAATAGACAGACAGACAGACAGACAGAAACAAAGGCAGAGAAAAGGTAAGGTGAGTACTGTAAAAGTGGTTGAATATGACATACCGTGGGATCATGGTAGTTTGAAGTCAGAAGAAATCAGGGGACTTAGTTCGTTGGAGTTAAGGCGTACTGAAACTTCATGAATTCAAAAGATTAGGGTTTTTTGCGATATCCAGTTATTCATTTTGAGTTGATATTTACATTATTCAGAGTTCATTGATCTATTATTTGGATCCCGGGATTTTAGAGTAAAACACGTACATACAACTTAACACCATTCACTGTAGTTAATTCAACACGAACTGGTCTGCGCTTGTTAGTCAACTAATTGCTTTATTCTGTTCTAATTATATGATTTGTATTTTAAATCGATTTTTGATGTAGACCATCAAACAATCGATTTTGGCCAGCCAGTCTTGCAGCCGCAGCCGCATTGTTGCCAAATGCAGGAGGAGTGATTTCAGCAGCCGGTTCGAACAGAAATACCGAGACGACCTTAGTGTGGGCTAAATCACAGAGCAATCCCTCAAGTACTCTACTCGGATCAGTTCGAAGTGGAATTCAAAACGAAGGAAGCACAAGCGAAAGCGCCGGGGATAGGGAATCGAGTCCGTCATCTATGAAATCCCGATCACGGAAACTCTCCTCCATTGATCGCAAAGATGCACGCCACGATGGTGGAGTCTATGCCGATTTCGCGATTAGCAGATTCAGTTCCTATCCATATGGTCAAGATGGTAGCGCTACTCAAATTACAAGTAAGTAGTCTTTTCACTGCACTTAGCTTTGAAGCAAAAAATATAGACCATCCAAATCATTAAATATTACTATTGTTTGTCAGCTTCATTCGAATTAGAAAATCAAGTGAAATACTACAAAGTGAAGAGCGTTGAAGACGGAACAAAAATTCAGAATATCATTACCTCAACCTGTTTCATGCTGATAAACATACTTCTATGCGTCCCGATCTAATATTCCAGGTTTTAATAGTCAGAATCTATCTGTTTACATCAGTGAAAGTTGATTAATAGGGTTAAATTAAGGTGTCATTTGTATTATCTCTTTTAAATCTTATAAGATTTAATTTTAAGGTAAAAATTGTAGATAAAAATAATAAAATTAGAAATAATTTTAGAAGTTTTACTTCTATTCAAATGTTAAAAATATAAAGTGTTTGTAAATAGTTAACGTATGTTAGACCGGAAAGAGTGCATATGGACCAGGGATCAAATGCACTACCGAATAATAAAAAAATAAAAAACGACCCAATGAAACAAACCTTTTCCTAATTCCTTATTTATTTTAATTATCTTATGACTAAATGAGATAATAAAAGTGTGGAGTGCTTTTCGCATCAGCAAATTAGAAAATTGATGTAGAGCATAAAGTAGAAAATCGATTAATTGGTTTTTGCGAGACGTGATCCATTTAGTAATTAGAGTGATTTAAACTGACATACAGGTGTTACACTGTGTCATTATTTAAAGGACGTACTACCAAATGAAACAAACACAATTTTACCCCGGGTCTATTGTGATTACATTTCCCATTCGTTATTTATTCATAACTAAATTTATGGTGTTGACAAAACGCCTATTACCAACGCTATTTTTTTTCTAAGAGTTGACTGCGATAGCTGCTTAGATACATCAATCATCAAGTCGCTTAATGTGTGAGAAATTTTATTGCAGTAGGTTTCGAACCACGCGCTTAACCTACTTTGTCTTATTATTTAATAGATTCTGAAATCTATGTGCTCATGGTTTTTGATTGGTATCCTTCCGATTATGAAGTTACTAAATTAGATTATTGAATGTAATTCTTGCAATAATTTGAATAAGGGTTGATCGTAAAATTTTATATGTTGTGTACCTTTTAGAACATGAATTTCCTTACGATTCGAGGACTTTGAATACAGCAAGTACCTACCAATCATTCCTTCAACAAGCAGTTCTGCAGCAGCACCCGAATGGTGTCGACATCAAAGCTTCGCATTCCCTGCCTTCAGCTGCACAAAGCTACAACAACTGGTCACACTTTCTGGAAGACAGAAATGCTGCACAACACCCAGAATACGCGGTTCCATCGGTAGGGTCTGCTGTCCAGTACCCGCGTCCAGAAGATGGAATCTATTTCAGCGGGCAGCCACACTCATGGAGCTATAATGCCAATTCGAATCAGAGCATCTCTTCAGCCACGCTAGGTGGAGGGATTTCGACAGATGTTAGATGTGTTCAACCTGAATCTAGCTGGCCTCAAGTTAACTCCAGTTCTTATCCGAATTCCTCATTTCCTGTGGAAGCGGAGAGATCTGTTTTATGATACGCATAAGTCCCGCACATTCCTATATCAAATTTCATCATCCTTTCTGCACTGCTCCCCCCCCCCCCAACTCCACCTTACTACACGACCTTTTGTTTCGCATCCATTCAACACTACTGAAATGGTAATGAGTTCTCGCGCGCTCATGTGTGAGTGTACAGATTGTGTACGTGGGAAACTTGTTTTTGTGGTTTGTAAATAAAAATCAATTGTTTGAGTGAGCACTTCTTTCCGAATTCTTAACAATGGTAAATCCGAAATCAGAGGTAAGAATGCCTTCGAAGTTAGTCATCAGCTCATCATACCATATGGAATTAAAAGGTTCTTTGCATTTCATAAAAATGATGTTTGTCGCAAATGGCTGTTCGGGGGCTCTGCATGATTGTTCATATTCGCAGTGTTTAGGGATGATAGACTGGTAAATCGATCTGGTTGTTCTATCAATACATCTTAATATGTCGATTCCTTGTGAAAACAAAGAGTAATCCTCCTTAAAACAATGCCTTATAGCCTTTTGTTGATCTGATGGATGATAGCATTTAAAAGTAGCAACAGAACATTAACATTTTGAAGCAGATTTTATTATTTGATAATTTAGTATTGTGCATTGATCATTACTCAACTGAAAAGAGCCAATTCCACGTTTAATTTTGCCCGATTAGTGTAACCCACATTAATAAAAGACCAATCAAATTTCTTTATCTGTAAAGGGCGATTTATCGGGGGAAAATATTTTGGCTTTATTAAATTAGTGGTATCTCAAGAATTTTGAATATTATTAAAAGTAACATGTTGCTGGAAAGCCTCTAAAATATGAAATAGTAAATGATTCTGGCTGTGTTCAAATCATGTGCGTTTACTCATACGCAAAATGTCTATTAACCGGTTGTTGACTTCTCACTTCCATAGTACTCACGAATCGAAATCACACTTCAAGTTCATATAAGCCTACATTTCATTTTCGTTAGGATCCTCTCAGTTTACGTGGCATGGAACACTGCCAAAAATTCGTAAATTTAAAACAATTTCCTCATTTAACAGACTTAATCAAGTGAACGAAAGCAGGGAAGAGGGTATGAGCCACTGAATTTCCTGTTATTTTTGGGTGTTTGCCAAGGCTATTAGGTCAATCTTCTTAACTATTTGAGAAGGTATGAGAAGAGATTACTCTTATACCAACTAGAAATACTGGCCATCTAATTAATGCCTGTTTAAATATGATGAGTGGTTATTTTCAAGTTTGCAGAATTTGTTGTCAGTTTATGGGCATTTTGAAATGATTATTCGGCAATATCTCAAATAACAAATATTTCTTCAAACATGTTGGCTAAATTTATTTTGAATTTTGTGGGGTGCGAGATAGACTTACCTCCACGTGGTGCAACCTGGGCAGCGTACATTCATACGGCAAAAAGTCTATTAAACTGGCAGTTGACTTCTGACTTCAAACTACCATGACCCCACTGTGTCATTTTTGACCACTTCCACAGTACTCACTTTACCTTTCTCCCCACCTTCTTGTTTGTCTGTCTCTTTTACATCTGTGAATCACTCTTGTATTCCCCCATCTCGAACTTTTCTCACTCTGATGTTCCTCCTCCCCTCTGTGAAGTCCGAAGTCAGCTAAAGGGCTAATGATAACTATCATAACGCCTGCCGTTTGAAATGAATAAAATTTGAATTTTTTTAATACACGCAATGTTTCTTTTGCTGCATTATTTAATCATTGAGATTGCGTAATGAGTAATTTAAAAGCTTATTTCAATCTTCGCGCTATCTTGATGAGTGCAGGTACCAAGAATTTTCGAGTCGCGAGTTCATAAAAAAAGTACTGTTAGGTTTGATGAGTACTGCGAGGTTTGAGCACAACCTACGTCTGCCACGTATTTGCTCATTTAAATTATTTTCTGGGGCTGCTGTTTTTAGAGAAGTACGCAATTTTTCCCACGAATTTCAACCACAGGGGTATGAAAATTACGGCGTTTATATATTGCATCGTTTTCGGGGGGCATTGGAGACATTATTTTTTGTGGGATTTCATGATATTTGGTAAAAAAGGAGTATTTAGCAAAGGGAAGTTAGCTGGAAACCACAAAAGTGCTCTAAGCTCCTTACCCACCATTTCCGTTTTAAAAATCGTTATTATTACCATATAATTGGCTCCAGTTAATTGATCAATCATAGGATGGAACCAGCTGCCAACGAGATCTGAATATCGTGAGCATAACCTCATCCCTGAATCTGGATGCTACTTCATGAAAATTGATAAATAGGAAAGCGATAAGAAAAATTTATTTATTAAAACAAAGTAAGGCAACTATTTGGTTCCCTCCTTATCACACACCTTAACATGATTCTCCACTATGAGCAAATCATTAAGTTCTTCATTTTACCATAGGAGGTGGATTTTACCTTATCCTACTGTTCAACTTCCGCGGACTGACTTCCAGTCTCTGGTGTGAGATATAATAATAATATCAAATGGCAGGCGTCTTGATGATTAACATTAGCCCTTTAGTTGACTTCAGGCTTCACAGAGAGAAAGGTACATCAGATTGAAAAAAAGTCGAGGGGGGGGGGACAGAAGAGTGTTTTAAAGACGTAAAAGAGACAGACACAAAGGTAGGAAAATGGTGAGGTAAGTACTATGGAAGTAGTCGAATATGACATATAGTGAGGTGATGGAAGGTTGAATTGAGAAGTCAACTGTCAGTTAATAGACTTTTTTGCCGTATGAGTATACATTGCCCAGGGTGCACCACGTGGAGGTAAGTCTATTGCCACCCCTGGTGTGAGATATCGCTCACTATATTCCTTCCTTTGATTAAAGTTTTGCGAGCTTTCAGAGAAGAAATAAATGAGTTTGAGAGAAACGCTAAAATAGCAGGTGAAAATAGATAAGGCCGATGAATGAGTAGTACGCCAGTTTAACCCTTCAATGCACCCGATCGCACTCACACGTGTCCCATAACAGACTGATGGCGCCGACGTAATGAGTTTTGGTGATGTATCAGGCGAAGGCTATAGACACGTATTGAACATATTTCAAACGGCAATAGGGCCTTCTGTTACCAGTCTAGCACTAATGGAGCCTATTTTCAAAGAGGACTGTCCTAAGGGCTGTAGAGGGTTAAAAGAAGGCTGTAGAAAATGGATAAAAAATGATAAGTGAATAGCAATTGACCGACTTCATACTTAACTCTACTTTCGCCTAACTGCGACAATCACCATTAACACTAGACAGACGATTTCGTTGAGTATGAGAGAATTTTGAGATTCACAAGTAATGTTAAAAGCGATAACGCATTGGTTTCAAGAAAATTATAATAATCCTAGTCCATTTAACCGACGAAAAATGGATTAGTGAAGTGCACAAAATTAAATTCATACTGTTAGACAGAGGTAACGATATCAGATAAAATATCGATTTATGATTATTCGCGTTATCATTTCGCAAATTCGACATTCGTGAAAAAATGGAGGAATGCAAAACAATATAGACGTAATACTAAGCCTTGAAGCACGCTGAAGAGCTAAACAAAAAATAATGGAAAACAATTCAAAAAATGTGCAGGAACTGTTCAGCTCATTGTAAAGTGAAAACATTGACATTTATAAACATCGGGGGAGGGGGTGCGATAGACTTACCTTCGCGTGGTGCACTCTGGGCAACGTATATTCATACGGCAAAAAAGTCTATTAGCCTATAGTTGACTTCTGACTCCTAACTACCATGACCTCACTGTATGGCACATTCCACCTCTTTCACAGTACTCATCTTACCTTTTCTCTATCTTTGTGTCCGTCTGTCTCTTACATCTGTGAATCACTCTTCTGTTCCCCACCCCTCGACTTTTTGTCACTTTGATGTTCCTTCCCCTCTGTGAAGCCCCAAAATCAACTAAAGGGCTAATGATAACTGTCAAAACGCCTACCATTTGATATAAATAAATAAATAATCACCGGATTGATTTTGACCTTGGGAAATAGTAAAATAATCCAATAAAAAGAGGAATACGCGGGCAAGTCAAAAATTTATCAGACAAATGCCATAACTTCAAGCAGAGCCAAGATTTACAAGTGTCAGAAACAGCTTCCAAAATTCAGCCATGAGGGAATTTATAGGTAGAAATAATGATTATAGAAGTACATAGACAGCAATGGAGCCTATGTTAGATAAATAATGGAATTTGTCGTACTTACTTGCGGTTATCAAAATAGACTTATTCCCTAGTTTCGAAATATCTTATCTTGAGTCCTGCAATATCCAGGGCTTGTCTCTCAGTTGACAGCTAACTAGAAGTAAACACTGATGTCAAGGAATATTGGAATGCCGCTCGAAATCGTGAGCTGCACCGGACATACTCGATGAGATAATGAAATACATACATGGTCTGTTCAGTTCAGCTCGACTCTGTAACTTTAAAACGATGGGATGCTGATACTTCGGAGTTATTGGCAAATCGAAGAGTGGCAAGCACGTGGAAATGGTAGACATGAATTTGCGGCAATTCGTAAAACGCATCTTGAAAATTGAACTTCGGAACCCGTTCTACAACCAATATCTTGTTTTATTGACTCTCTGTAATCAATTCCAATTGCTTCTTACAAATAAAAATTGTAATCTGTTTGCCCTATTATGGATAATAAGATTAGTAAAAAATGAAGATAACTAAGTTAGTTTGTTTTAAAATTTATCCTTAATCTTCAGAGTTCATCGTGGGTGAGCTCAGCTTATATGTGAAATTCACAAGTCCTACTACGCGCACGTAGTTGTCAAATGAGTTGAAGAGTACTAAATAACCAATTAATAATCAAACTAAGTGGCCTCACTCTGATACTCACAAGTCAAATAATGAGAAATGAGCTATGAATACTTTGGCATCAATGCGTCATGGTGATCTCTTGGTCCTTCGACCCACCCCGCCCCTCCTCCTACCCTTAATTCGACAATTTTGACAGGTTACATTTAGATGTTACCTTATAATTTTTAAGACGGG